GAGAGGGTGGGGGTGAGGACAGGCGACGCAGCCCGCCATCATGTCCATCCCCACTAGCTTTGGGGCCAGGCCCAGCCCCACGCAGGGCAGAGGAGCCCGAAAAACAGGCAGGAGGCAGCACCACCGCTCCCAGCCCCTCCCCAGCCACAACATCCCTGGGGTGGGTGAGGGCACCAGCAGCACCTGGATGCTGGGCAAGGAGGAAACCACGGGTCCTCCTGCCGTGACCATGTCACCGCCTGCCACCTCCCAACCTGCAGAGCTGCCTGGCCCAAGCCCTCCAGCATCACCTCCTGCCTTGGCGATATCCTTAACTCTGCCCACACTAAGGCAGAGCTGACGGGATGGGGGCACTGGGGACCCCCGTGTCCCCCTCCCCACCCGCTCGCCCACCTCCACCAAGAAGTCCCGCAGGGCCACGAAGGTGGGTCGGTCCTCAGGCTTGTGCGCCCAGCACTGCAGCATGACGTTGTAGACATCCTGGGGACAGTCCTCAGGCCGCGGCAGCCGCTCACCCTCCTTGTCTATCTTGTGCAGGATCTGCGGGGCAGGTGGTGCCGTCAGGGGGTTCCAGGTCGCCCCCCCAGTGCTGCCAGGGCGAGGGGAGGGGCAGGTACCTGCCGTGCACCCACCTGGCTGCCATTGAGGCCAATCCAGGGCTCCTGCCCGTAGGTGAACATCTCCCAGAGGGTCACCCCGAACATCCATGTATCGCTGGCATGGGAGAAGGTGCGCGTCTTCAGGCTCTCGGGAGCGCACCTGCGCAGGGAAGGACGTGAGCATCACGAGGTCGTGGGTGCTGCAATCCCAGGTCCCCCCCCACCTCCCAGGGGCTCACCAGGCGAAGGGCACCTTGCGATGCTCCTGCATCACGTAGTGATCGTCATTTTTGGGCAGGGCCCGCATCAGCCCAAAGTCCCCAATCTTGACCAGCTCGTTGGAGGCCAGCAGGATGTTGCGGGCGGCCAGGTCACGGTGGATGAAGCGCTTGGACTCCAGGTAGGCCATGCCCTTGGCCACCTGGATGGCGTACTGGCAGAGGGTGGAGATGAGGAAATGGCCCTGGTTCTTCCGCAGGCGGTCTAGGAGGGAGCCCAGTGGGGCCAGCTCTGTCACCTGGACCATGGGGAGGGGACAGCAGGTCAGTCAGGCCAGGGACACCCCAGTTGGGCTGGTTTCCACCCTTCTTGTGCCCCCCTGGCGATGCCAGCGGAGGACTCGGGGTGCAGACCCAGCCTGGCTTTGCTTGCCCCATCATGCAGGACACCCATGGGGCAGCATCGGGGTCGACCCCAGCCCCCCGCACTCACCATCTTCATGGGGTGGGAGAGCACCACGCCATAGAGGCGGATGAGGTTCCTGTGGTCCAGGGAGTGCATGGCGTTCACCTCCCGGATGAAGTCGTCCAGTGCCTCCGGCTGGCTCAGCACATCTGTCTTGAGGCACTTCACCGCCACGTTCAGCTATGGCCAAAGCAGGGGTGAGCCCCAAAGCATCTTCCCCCCCGGGGTGGCCCCACACCCAGCTCCCCCCCCAGTGACCCCCTCACCGTCTTGCCCGCAGGCGTGCACCACTCGCCGCGACGCACGACGCCGAAGGAGCCGTCTCCCAGCTTCTCAAAGAGCGAGAGGTCCCGCTCCCGCACGAGGCAAGTGAGGGAGTGCTGGCCCCCAGCTTCAGGGGGCGGTGGCGTGGGGGGCTTGCGG